TACCCTCAAGCAATGTGGCTAACTTTATAAAAATTAATGGTGAAAGAAAACAATAAATACTCCAAGTTGCCATTCACTACCATCTTTTTGCTTGAAAAATTTCATGCCTAAGTGTCAATCAAGAGAGGCATCTCTTTACCTCTGCCAAAAGAGGATGGAACCTTGATTTTCAAATACAGTCTGTCCTTAACAATATATTTGACAGCCTCCTAACACAATACATTAATTATAATTCAAAACCAGCAGGGTACTTTCTCCTCTGAAATGCCAAAAAGAAAGCATTTTGTTGCCAGGTTTTTAACATTTATAGTTTTTAATAGACTTGTATTTATTGAAGCTGTTTTAATTGTTGATTGGGAGCTACTCAGAGTTCGACATAAGATGGGTGGCTGAAAGAGAGAGAGAGAGATAGACAGAAACAGAGAGACAGAGAGAAAGAAGATAGAGAAAGAAAGGAGAGAGAGAGAGAAAGAAAGGAGAGAATGAGAAAGAGAGAAAGAAAATTCAGCCTTTTTATCGCACATTCATGTTGTTATTAGAGGCTTGGACAAACAGCACAGAAAGATCAGTTTCTGAGTTAGACTGGAATTTAATTGTATTCTGAAAAGGAAAGGCAAAATTTCTCAACTTTCACCTGCAGTTTATGATGCCAATTTCAACTGTTTTTATCACGCAAACAGTCTTGGAAGATTTCTAGAATATTTGATTGGATCGGATACTATTATATTTTAATAAAGGAACATTTCTGCAACAGCAAACTGGCTTTCAGTTTGGTGTCAGTTTGATGTAGTGATTAAGCAACAGGCTATAAAAACCAGTAAACCGTGAGTCTTAGGTATCAAATCAACTAGGTGACCTTGGGCCAGTTACTGTCACTCAGCGCTAGGAAGGAGACAAAGGCAAACCACTTCTGATATCTTGCCATAAAAAATGCAGGGACATGTTTAGGCAGTTGCCAGGAATCAGCACTGACTTGAAGGCACAAAAAGAAAGTAACTTTCAGCTCTTATAATGCAATTATTTTTGTATTTCCGTGTCACATACAATGTCCTAGTTTTGGTTGTGTGTTAGTTTTCACCTGGCTTTTTCCAAATTAGTGAAGTTGGGAGGAGATGAGGACAAGAACAATTTGGAAGATACAATGCTTCCAGGCCATTTGGGATTTGATATTCCTTACATGGAATTAATTAATTAATTGATCGATTCAAATGGTGATATTTCTTGACTTTGACAACATGGCCAGCAGCCCAATTAGAAGGGCAAAAGAGCAGGAGCCAGCTTTACTACAACTCAGAAGCAGGACAGACAGGCAAGCCAACCAAAGAAATGACAACACCTCCTATTTGGGAAGCTTCTCCACCAACCCTGCTTTCTGCTGCATGATTTCCCCTCACCTTACCTGCTCAAGAGCTAAACAAAGCGTTGTTTTATTTAAACATCTCAGGGAAGCTGCCATTAGAGTGGCTGTGTTTGCAGAAATCCAGATTAGTTTAAGCTAAAAAAAATATTTGGGCACTATAGCCAGCCAGGCATTCTTAGCCTTTATATAAACCATAATGAGACGTATTTGCTTGGGTTATACCATTATCATTTGTTAAACTAAGTATAAGGTTTAGCAACCTTAAAACCTGTTTTATGTGAAGCTGTCAATTGATCCTTATTTTTCGGGGGGGGGGGAATCTCACTCTGTCAAACAAGAAAACTAGCTTTGAGATCTTATATTAACTATAGCAATCACTAATAGCAACCTAAATGATGCATGTCAAAATGTTTCTAGCTTTGGTAGATACTGAAACAAATTAATTGTTTGTAGACGAGTTCTGAAGGCTTCTGAAACATGGAGTGGGGTTAACCATTAATTTTGGACTAATATTGTAGCTATATAAATATTATCTCTTTAAAATGAGGGAGGGAGGGAGGGAGGGAGGGAGGGAGGGAGGAAGGAAGGAAGGAAGGAAGGAAGGAAGGAAGGAAGGAAGGAAGGAAGGAAGGAAGGAAGGAAGGAAGGAAGGATTTTTACATAGATCATATGTAGTAGCAATGGTACTAGTAACAGGGCAACACTGACTGCATACTGAGCCTTGGAGAAATGAAAAAGGAAGAACAGAAGGAGATAGGGATGGAATGGAGACCTAGAACCTTGAACCAAAGCCCTGAACAGTACTGTTGAAGAGTAAGAAATGTTCTTCAAGGTTACAGTCAGACAGTAAAGCAAGGCAACACAATGATAACATGTCCTCGATTCTCTAATCTATAACATCTTATCAACAAATATGCTGATACAGCAACCAATCCACAGGGATGGAAAATATACATCAGTATAAAAATGCATTGCAAAGGTACAGCTCATTTGAAAAGGATTGACTTAGCTCATTGGCCAGCCATTAAACCTCAATGAAATTTTTTTTCAATCCCTTCTTAGCACAAGTTATTCCATCCACATTGCTGAGGTAACTGAGGTCAGAGGAAGAGAGTTAAAAAAAATCTTCCATCCTTCCTTCCTGGGATTTATTATAATAATAAATATATATTTCTAAGATGGTTCTTATCAATTCTTGTGTTGATTTAATAACTCAACATAAAATTTGCTCCATTCTTCTGATGATAAAAGGGCAATTTGGAAATAAACCTCCGTTTGGTTATCAATGAGAGACACTCACGGATACAAAACTTGTATAATACACATTAGAAAACTACATTACATTACTTTTTGACCTAATCGCCATTCAAATTGAGGCACTTGTCATAACGTCTTACAAGGTTTGAAATTCCTTCTGCAAAAAAATATCCCACCTGGGAATGAAGCATCGTGAAGCACATTGTCATCATCGAAGAGGTACGACGCATTTCATTTAAAAAACTGTTTCATTTTAAATTGATCTAGTGGACAAGTCAACTGCAACACAACCTTCTCCTTCCACTTCTCACTGCCTACTGAACTACTGCGCATGCACCATAGGACGGGCGTTGCTATCCCAGCCTATTTCTCACACATGCTCAAACAGAGGTTTATTTCCAAATTGCCCTCGTAGTTCTCTCTCTCTCTCTCTCTCTCTCTCTCTCTCTCTCTCTCTCTCTCTCTCTCTCTCTCCCTCCCTCCCTCTCTCCCTCCCTCTCCTTTTTTTCACATTTATCTTTGAATTCCTATTTCTTAAAGGTAGACGTCAGAACCCTAACATGCTGCAGGTTATTGCACCATGAGAGCTGCACCACAAAAATGGAGAAAAACTGACCCAATTTATGTAAACCATTCTAGTGGGGAGATTAGAAGGGAGTAGGGTATTTATTGGCTAACATGGGCCTACAGGCAAGCCCAAATATCTCTTGGAAGAGAAGATCTTGGAAAAGATAAGCTTAGTTCTAATGCTTTCTTCATCTCATTAGGCCAATTCAGACATTATTCTAACAGGAGTGCTTAAAATAAGAGCACTTCAGATAATTCCATCCATCACTGGTGTTCTTGTGATATTGGCTCCGTGCAGTCTTCACAAATTCAGCTTGATCATCTGCAGGGGTAAAAAATCTACGGCTTCTGTCAAGTCAGAACACTGTATTATGCATTATCGGTTTCTTGGCTCATGTGGAATCCTACCTATATACAGCACATTGTAGGCTTTTTCCCTGCAAAAAGCCACAGTGAACATACAATGCCTGCAGAGAACAAGATTATTTGAGCATTCATTGTTCCAGATATAAGAACATCTAAAAGGAGTTTTTGTCTTCTGTCTTTCATTATAGTAATTCCATGGGAATGTTTGTGAGTTTTCTAGATAAGTGGTTGGCTTTGTTGCTTTTTTTTTTTTTTAATGGCACTACTACCAAGATAATGTCTTGTCCTTGCCATCAAATTCCACAATAATCAGAAAGGTTGTTCATTATTCCTTGCAACTTCCTGTTGAATTATGAATATTTTTCATGATAAGATACTTTCTATTTCATGTTGCAACATATTCAGTCAGGGGGAAAAAGCAAAAAAGTCATATATGTGTAAATGTATGGTTTTAAAAGCATGCTGCTTCAAACCCTAACAATGATTTCTGTGAAATGTCATATACACTTTTCATAAACGTGTAGTTTTCATATGAACTTCATTCAACTTAAAGGACTATAGCTCAAAAACACAGATTTCTATGGAATTTAGGAAGAAACCTATTGTAGGTTTGTGTGTGTGTATGTGTGTGTGTCTTCTATGAAATTTGGCAGCCTACATCTGTTTCCAATAATCTAGTGTTTCTGGAAATTTCATTCCCCACTAGAGAAAAACAGAAATATTAAGCCAGAAGTACAAGATCTTTGCACTGATTCTGTGAAGACTGTCATCTTTTTTTTCCTTCATAAGTATCTACCTACCCTGCAAATTTGGTCCTGACTAAAAAGAAGCATTTATATTTTCACATGCTTAATAATGAAAACCTTGAATTCTGTTTTTTCCATCTCTTCTCCTGTTTCTTTCCAGTGATGAGTTAACTGTTGCCTTTAACCTCACCAGCTCCATGCTAGGTCTTTTTAGTAATTGCAGTGATATAGTGTCTCTCAAACCATACAGTGATACCTGGGTAAACTATTAGTTTGTGCATTTATGTGTAGTAGTAGTAGTAGAAGTAGTAGTAGTAATAGTAGTAGTAGTAGTAGTAATGATAGTAGTTCTGTTGTGGCTTGGGTTTTTAAGGGAACAATTGAAATTCCTGTAAATAATTATCCAGATATCCATAAAATAAATGCCTATCTTAGGTCATTTAGGAAAGATCTTCTACTTCGCATGTGTTCAGTCTCTGGCATACTTAGTTAAATCATCTCTGAGGCGCCTAAATTTCTCTGCTTAAAAATATGTTTCTCTTAATATCCTGAAAAAGAAAGAATTCTGCCAGACTCAGCAGATAGTTTTGGTACATTATTATATACATGTATATACATTTACACCTCTGTACAGATGTAACTACCTATTATATGGCAGATTTATGTCTTTTATACAGGACTTAATTCTTAATTCTTCCTTTCAGGTTCTACCAAGGAAAGGCATGAAATATGTCCTCCTACTCTTCAACTGCTCCTACTTACCTTGGAAGAATTTTAAATAGAAACATTACTAAAAAAAAAAAAAAATTCCAGGACTTTTCCAGCTCTTCTTTGATGTGATGTATGAAGCAATATTTGGTTGCTAAAACTTCAAGCAACATACATTAACCACCTCACTGAAAAGAAGAAATGAGTGATGAAGAGTGATGAAAAACAAGAGGCTGCAGCCCAAACCAAAGGAAACTGAAGAAAGAAAGGCGCTTTACTGCAACCAGATTAAATAGAAGCCAAACAAATACTTCCAGGAAATCTACAAATCAGTGTGTAAAAATGACAGTCCTTCTGTGTAACTTGATCTCAGATGTATACTGCTGCTAAATGTGGAGATTTCATTTCCCCATCATGGACTGATAAATAATGATCAACTACTATTCTCCCAAAAATTGTCATGCATTTTTAAGAACATTATTAATGAATGTTCTAGCCCTTTTTTTTTTTTTTTGTAATTATTAACCAAGCAAAGATTCCTCTGGGGAAAAATGAACAGGATCCAGTTTATTTCACTGTACTCATAGCTACGTAATGGGAGAAGGCATCTGATTGTTACCCAATTGCTCAGAGCCAGCTGTCTTCCTGATACTATCTCATTGATTAGAACCTGGGAACCAATTGTGAGATGGGTGAAAGAAGATAGTTGGACTAGCATCCTTCCTAAGTATTTGTGTGACAGCTGTCACAGGAATCTGCATGGACGAAAAGTGATACTACTTTGTGAAGTCAGCATGAATTCCACAAACGTTACAGATGGTTCTCTCTGCCTTTTGGAAAAGGTGCTGATTGGAGCTGTTCTCACAGTTCTCATTGTTGTGACTGTGTGTGGTAATGTGATGGTATGTTTGGCTGTCTATCTCAATCGACGGCTTCGCAGCCTAACTAATTGTTTCATTGTCTCACTGGCCTTTACAGACCTACTACTAGGCCTACTGGTTTTACCCTTTTCAGCCATTTATGAGATTTCCTCCCATGAATGGCTCCTGAACGTTACTTTCTGCAATGTCTATGTTAGTTTGGATGTCATGCTATGCACCGCTTCCATTCTCAATCTATTCGTCATTAGTCTCGATCGCTATTATGCTATTACGGCACCCCTCCACTACAGCACTGTGGTCACTCCTTTACGAGTCATTGTAGCTTTGATCCTGATCTGGGTAGTGTCCCTTATGGTTTCTTTCTTACCCATCAGTTTGGGATGGAATACCAAAGACATGACTATCCAGAACCAGATCCAAATGAATGGGAAGCAAGAGTGCAAACTGGAGGTCAATACTTCATACGTTTTGGTGGATGGCTTGCTAACTTTCTACTTCCCCTTAATTATCATGTGCACTACCTACTACCGGATATTTAAAATAGCCAGGGAACAAGCTAAGAGGATCAACCACAGCACTTGCTGCAAGACTGACAAAACTATATTGCCCACAGTGAAAGAACACAAAGCCACTGTGACCCTTGCAGCTGTGATGAGCGCCTTCATTGTATGCTGGTTTCCCTATTTTACTGTGTTCACATACCGAGGTGTGATGGGTGCAGTATGTGACCGACTAATGACTGTTGTCCTATGGCTGGGTTATGCCAACTCGGCTCTGAACCCCATTTTGTATGCTGCACTGAATAGGGACTTCCGGACAGCTTATCAGAGGTTGCTCAAATGTCGGCGAATAAGGCCAGATGCCAGAGAAACTTCTCTATCACATGAGATGAGAGACAAGTCCTGCCATCTGATGACAAACCTATATGAAAACAAACATCTAGAGACACATACGATGAATGGGAGGGCAAAGCCTCTAATCAAAGAGACCATAAAAAGGTAATACTCTCTGAAAGGCTAAATAAGTATTGAGATTTGCATTAGAGGCAGAAGGAAACTTCTGCATCCTGTTTAATGGCCCCCGGGTCAGAAGGAATTGCAACCCTTTGGCAGCCTTGGGGAAAGCAGCGTGACCTATAAACTCCAACCTGTTCAGCTAGATTTGTCCTTGGGCAGTTGTAAATTGCCTAAACCTAGAACACCTCCCATTGCCAGGCAAGCTGACCAAAGAAGTAAGCTGTCCATGAGGGCTGCATCTCAGAAATTCTGCCATCTTCTACATGATTTCCTCCAGTATTGTTCCTCCAGTTTAATCTGGTAATTATCCACTATTTCTATTGTCTCCTTTCTCGTCTTAAATTGCTCACTTTTTCCACCAGTATTTTTTAACATTCAAGGAAAGCTCTGCCTTTTCACTCTCCTAGTTTTGCTTGTTTTCGTTTTTAGAATAATTGCTGTTAAGTCACTCTCAGTTTCTGCAACCAATGTAGTGGTGTCTACCGATCTCAGATTTTGATATTGTTTTCACTGATTTTTCCTCTTCTGGACCAAAAGCCGAAATGATATATTCAGTGTAGAAATTGAACAAGTTATACAAGTATAGCAGTCCTATCTGACTCCTTTTCCAATGGTAAACCATTCTTGTGTTATTAGATTATCAAAAACAAAACAAAAATAAAATAATGGGATAATAAAATAAACAATGAAGATGAAAACAAGAATACAGCAATACGATAGCAAAAAGATGGAAGGGTGGAGAGCAAAGAGCAAAAGAGGAGGGAGGGGAAATCTGCCTTCAATCCGCCTCTACCTTCATTTGGTCCCCAGGCCAACTGGCAGAGCCAGATCTTCAGGCTCCTGTGGAAGGATAGGATGGTGGAGGCAGAACCTACCTAGAAAGGAGTATATTCCAAAGGGCAGGCACTGTGGCAGAAAAGGATCTTCTTCTGGATTCCCAGAAGTCAGAGTTCTTTGACCAATGGGATCTGTAGTTGGACCAATCTGCTGGCATAAGTAGGCCAGACTTGTCCTAGTGGGATAAAGTCAGTGGTGGGATTCAGCCAGTTCGCACCATTTTGGTAGAACCAGTAGTTAATTTTTTGTTGCCCAGGCCCAGAATGGACTTCTGAAAGTGGCATCCACACAGAGAACCGGTTGTTCACATATTTGAATCCCACCACTGGACAAAATAGTTCATCAGGTAACCTGGACCTATGTCATTAAGGGTTTAAAGGTCATAACCAACACCTTGAACTGCACTCAGAAGCAGACCAGTAGCCACTGAATTTCATGGAGCAGAGGTGTAATATGGGTCATGTTAGGGGCCCCAAAGACTGGTCTCACTGCTACACTTTGCACCAGTTGAAGCTTCTGAATGGATTTCAAGGGTAGCTCTATGTAGAGCGCACTGCAATAGTCCAGACAAGAGGTGACTAGAACTTGAGTAACTGAGCGCAGGGAGTCAATGATGCAGGAAAGGTTGCATCTAATGAACAAATCAGAGCTGTGCAAAAGCTCTCCCAATTACATCTGCCACCTGCTCTTTGAGCAGGAGACATGATTCCAGGAGAACCCCCTAAGTTACAAAGTGGGTCTGAGTCCCTAATGCAATCCCATCCAGAATTAAGGATGACAAAAACCCAGATCTGAGGTTCCACACACCCCAAGCCATTCGGTCTTGCCATAGTTCATTCAAATTCTGTTGTCCCCCCCCCCCCCATTCCAGGTCCCTACAGCCTCCATGCAAGGGTAGTGACAAGGTAGGGAAATTGGTTTCCCTACCCTGTGGGTCACTGTGGCTTTCTGGTTATTGTATATATTTCTTCTAAAAAAAACTCAGATGTTGTGGTTATCTACTGCTTTGAGAGACTTCCAAAGCCCTGAACGATAAATATTATCAAAAGTTTTGAAATTGTCTGTAAAAAGTGAAGCTATTTTTAATATTCTCTTGCTGTTTCTCTTACATATCTATATTAGCTAGATGGCCGTATGTTCCTTTAAATCTCCCTCTCTAGGAATTGGGAAATAAACCAACTTTTTCCAGTTCTGGGGCCGTGCTCTTTTTTTCCACAGTTGTTGCTCAAGAGCTGTCACAAACTTTATGGTTCCCTGGCTAGCCTCCTTTAATTGCTCCACCAGGAGCAATTAAAGCCTCCAGCACCACCAGGCTTTCCTATTTGCTAGTTGTTTTCTAGACCATCTGACTTTCTCCTCACCTCAACCCAGTGCAGAACTCAGATTAAAGCATTCCAATCAATTACTATCCAGCCCCTCCAGAAACACTTCCAGTGAAGAGAATTCCACCACGGTAATGGGTGACTGGTTCCCTTATTTAACCACTCCTTCCACTAGGAGTATTCAGTAAGAACTTCCCTTTCTGTAACTGAAAACAATGAGTCCTTATCCTACATGTTGAAATAACAGATAAAAGAACTTGGCCTCCTTTTGTATATGAAAAAAAAAGTTATTATATCCTCTGTGAGTATTCTCTCTTTGAGCCTGATCACTCCCAGTTTCTTCAGGTCTCTACATAGTCCTCTGACATTCCTTTATAGATACTCTGAATCTGTTCTATTTTTTCTCTATCCTTCTTACAGTATGGCCCCCAGGCTGTTGTTGGATGGGGAATTCTGGGAGTTGTGGTCCACCAAATTGAAAGCTGCCAAGGTTGAGAAACACTGGCCCAAATTATTCTGCCCAGGGCAGAATAAAGTGGAACAATTGTTTTCCAAGTTTTATATTTTCTCACACAACTTTTTTCACAGCTGCCTGAAACTACTAGCTCAGTTTCTTGTTAGCTATGTTTCAAAATCTTGGCCTTTTATTTCATAAGCGGAAAAAATGCATATCTCTCATAAAATTCATTCTGGTTTTTTTTTCAGTCCATTTTCAAAACTATTTTGTAAGTTATTTTTTTAAAAAAGAGGAAACCTCCTAAAGTGATTAATTAAAAAGAGAAAGTGAAGTATTTCAAGTCTTAGTCTCCTAATTAAATAAGCATCTGAGAACAACATAGGCAGTTCTGTTTATTTTGATTCTAGACAGATTGCCTTTCTAAAAGTCCAGAAAAAGAGAAATGCTGCATGTCACTTCCCAGAAACATTTAGGAATTTCAGATCCTTCAAACAGATACTACTTGATCAGAATATTACAACTTCACTGTATAGAAGCTTTCCAGTTGGCAGCTAGCACTTTTTAGATTTCAGGAAATGTCAAGAAAAAGTTGATTCTGCTGCTTGATCTTAAATAGAGAGGCCAAAATATACTTCTCATCTTCTGCAGATGCTTTGGGTTCTAACTGTCAGAATGGGTCCAGAATGTTGCTTTACACAATAATCAGTCCTAAAAACATTTGCAGCACAAAACCTGGCTGTGTTGGGATGCTTGCTTTGCTTTAGCCAGTTATTCGGTGTATTGTTTTTATCTAAAAGAAGCTGTGATAAGGGAAAACCTGAAACATTGTGGAAGGGACATCTATGCTCAATCTTTTGCTCCAGGCACCAGATTCAGGTTACCATAGAGCTGGCTGGTCTTTACAGAATGGTTCAACCATTCACCACTGCAGCGAATTATCTTTGACATATAAAAAACTTCACATGTCAAGGGTAAACATCTAGCTAACATTTTGTTGTATTTTTCTCTTAAAAATAATGTCTCCGACAATTTGGACACAATGCTGTTATCTTTCTTTCACAGATCCATTTTACAAAAAGAGAACTAAAGCGGTACATATCCAAACAAAGAGCAGCTGGGCTTTTATTATATAGATATGGAATGAACTCAAGCATACTTATAGCTGATAGAAATGGGAAGTATGCTGCATTCAGAATGGCTCAATTATGGACTAAAATAAAATGTGTCATTATAGATGGATGTAAGTACAACTAACTGGGTTCTTTTTGTGCCTCTGCTAGCTTTAGGGATTACTCTTATACAGTGTTTTAGTATTGAAATATGGACCTGTACCAAAAATCCAACAGTCTAGAGCAGAAATCCTGTCATTTCTAAGCCGTGGTGGCACACTGGTTAGAATACAGTATTGCAGCTACTTCTGCTGACTGTTGGCTGCTGGGAGTTTGATTCTCACCGGCTCAAGATTGGCTCAGACTTCCATCATTCCGAGGTCAGTAAAATGAGCACCCAGATTGTTGGGGGTAATACACTGACTCTGTAAACCACTTTGAGAGGGCTGTGAATCACTGTGAAGTGGTATATAAGTCTAAGGGCTAATGCTATTTTGGTTTTAAGAGTGGAGATTTCAGGAAAAAAAGCTTCCCTATAATCTATGCCAGTGGTGGCGAACCTATGGCACGTGCGCTGCAACCTCCAGCAGATTGTGCAGATCCATTAGGCCACCACCACCCAGAGCAGCAGCCCCACCCAGCACAAAGGAGATGAAGAAGCCAGCAAGCTCAAGTAGAGGTGGTAGAACATGCCCACGCCCATTCCCAGCAAGCCAAAGGCCACCCCAAACAGGGAAAGCCAGATCCCCATCAGCATCATGGCCACTCATGACCAGCAAAAATGGGGGGAGGCACACAATCCTAGTGGGACTGGGGGCCATGGCACCAATGGGGATACAGCTTTCCCCGCTCGGGGTGATCTTTGGCTTGTTGGGCATGGGCATGCTCTACCACCTCTACTCAAGCTTGCTATCCAGCCACTTCGCCTCATTTGTGCTCGGCAGGGCTGCTGCTCCAGGCGGTGATGGCAGCCTAATGGACCTGTGTGAGCTGCTGGCGGTGGCGGCCCAAGGCAGGCCCAAGGTGCGTTGGGTGCGCAAGGAGAACAGACTCCACATGCAGGCCAAGGGCAAGATCTGTGAGGGGGCCAAGGAGAAGACCAGCAGTGACCTGCTCTCCAACCACAAACAAAAACAGATGGGATGGAGTGGGCGCATCTAGCGATCTGCATCACGTGCCTCCCCCCTCCCTTGCTCCGCCTACTGTTGGAGGACTGGCATGGTATTGGCACTGATCGAGGAGCTGGCAGGCTGTGGC